AAACCTTTGCATTAATTGTTTAGTATTCATGATAATAGAATGTTACATTTATTAGTGTATTAATGTATTATTTTATTAATTTTGACAAAAAACAATTTGTCCTTTTAATTCTCTGTCTTTCTGTGTGTGTCTATCTATGACATGACGGGCCAGATTAGTCCCACATGCCTTGAATTGAACATGTATGGTCTTTGTCATGCTGCAGGCAGCTGTACCCAGCCTTTCACCTTGGCATGTTTTATTTCAAGCTCAGCCATCTCTATCAGATTCTTCCTGAAGGCCACAACACGTCTACCCTTAAAACCAGTAAGCTCTAAAAAAAAAATCAAAAAAAATCAGTGAGACAATGATATTCATGTAATGCATGTCATTGGACAAACAATTTTAGATTGTGTCTAAACATATCAGGCATTAATTTACACACCTTTCTTTCCAGACTCTGAGAGCCTGTCAAATTTCTGCAGACATTGTTGCTGGTGCTCCTCCGCCTGGGCCACATCCTTGCTTTTCAGTCGAGCCTTATCTAAGGCCTTGTTGGAGCTCTCATAGTCAGCCAAGGCCCGGGCTCGTCTGTATAAAAGGTCCTGACAGACGTAATTAAGACAGATGAACAAAAGAAAATTAATAACGGAGCAATCACAGCCTTAAAGTGAATTGAACAATTCTGACCTTAGCAGCCTGGATGTCTCTCATGTAGTATCGCAGCAGCTCGGTTAGTTTTAACTCTTGGTCAGATGCAACTCTTCCTTCGACCTTCTGCACTCAGAAGAAATACAGTGTAGCTGTGGTTACAGAACAGCAACAGAGCACACAAAACTTGTTTTGTTTTTTATAGAAATGTGATACAACTTACTCTGAGTTTTTCAAATAAGTCTGACAATTTCTCCAAGTGTCTGAAAGGACACAATGTAAAGACATATGACAAAAAAAACTTACAAAAAGTTCCGTTAGAAATATGTAGACACATGCAGTATAATATGCAATTATCATCCCAACCCAGCATTTTGAAGATTATACTGTACATTACACTCACGTCTTGCTTGCTGTAGTATCTTCAGCTGAGAGACTGTTCAAAGTGGCGGAGATGTGAATGTAGTCATCTGCAATATCTGAAATAACCGGAAGATCCAATTAAAATAATTGGATTAACACCATTATTATATATATATTAAAATAAAACATAAAACAATGAATACTTTTGTGAGAGCGTGTCATTTTCTCGGCTTTGGCGGTGGAATCTTTTATCTTGCTGTAGTAG